GGTCCACCAAATCAAAGGCCTTACGGAATTCAAACAAAACCAGTGCAGTTACCTAGCGATTATCTATAACAGCACGAACCTCATTCACAAGACCATCAATAAGGCGGTCTGGGTGGAATGGCCAACACGACACCCACACTGCGGGGGGCAAGCAAATTGTTTTTATTCAAGTACACGTTCAACTGCTCAAAAACCAGTTTCCAATGTCTTGGCTAATGGACACAAGATCGAGATTATTTGGAAATCATTCAATCAGATTTTATTATTTTTGTTTTTTTGAAAACAAATTGATGACTAATGATTTCTTCCAAATCAATGGAAAGGCGAGTAAGAGAGCAATTTATGATATCTACAATGTCAGGCAGCAAGAAATCAGCCCTAATTGTCAAAAATCTTTTAGGACTGGAAAGGGAGAGGGAGGGAGAGAGGGGGAGAGAAGGAGAGAGAGGGAGAGGGAAGGAGAGGGAGGGAGAGGGAGAGAAGGGAGAGAGAGGAGAGAGATGGAGAGGGAGATGGAGAGAGAGAGAGAGAGAGAGAGAGAGAGAGAGAGAGAGAAGAGAGGGGGGGAATATACTATTTGCTAGTTTTACATAATCCCTGAGGAGTAGAGAGAAAATTATGTTGCGTGAAAAAACGACAAGTTTTCGGCAAAAAAATAAATCACATGGCTCTGGTATCGAAAAAATGGATAAATCCAGTTACTAAATTTATTTAAAAAATATTTGTGAATGCAGTGCTGGAAATAAAATAAATGTTTATAATAGTTTTCGTTCGTTTACTATTTCATTTTTTCTTTAAAAAAACAACGTACGAACTTAGCAACAAAGCTGAAACGTTTAGTGGACTCTCTGCGTTACTGTTCTCTGAGGCATCTATGACTGTTTAATTTCTTAACGAACTATGAAGAAACTAATTATTGTTTTGTTTGGCTGTAAGTCTTCATTTAAAATAAAATAAAAATTTTAAAAATGAATTAAAAATATCTTGGGGACATGGCGAAAAATAATTGTATATATTTGCCACAAGCAATAATAGTGTTCCATAAAGAATGTCTTAGAAGAAAGTGGAACAACATCAAAATAAAAAAAAGGATCCAGGTGAACAAAGTTTAATGAAAATCAAATTTCTGTTGTAAATCTTTTTGTAAGGATTACCATTACCTTATTCACTTTCTGAATTGATAAAAATATGAAAATATATATAACTACAATAAATTAATTTCATAACATTTGGGAAGGAAAAATTCTAAGTATTGATTTTCAAGATTTTTTCTTCCACCATGCACTATGACCTTTACAAATTCTATTTTTCAATGTTTGTTGGCTACAAATCATTGCATGAATTTATAAATCAAATCATATTTTATAATTATTGAAATTTATGTTTTTGTATTTAGAATATTATTCAAATTTTGTTGAAATCTGTGTGCTTGCAGAATCTAGTGGGATCACTTTTGGCAAATTATATTTTTGTTCTTTTTGTCTTCATCTATGATTAATACTTAAAATTATATTTTAGTAATCTCTTGAGTTGTTTTATTTGTTTTCACTACTTAAAAACTGAACTAATAGCTCTAATGAACACTGGCTCAACTACGACCTTTCCAAGGCCTTGCTTTGCAATATAGACTACAACATTCACCAGTAATCAAAAATAAATTTTTTGAATGACAATATTTAAGAGAATGGATGAGTAACATCTCAAGAAGTAAATAGTTTACATATTATTACTGTAGCGTAATGCACAATAACTGCGGCATTTTAGAATGTCCGCCAATGTCACTTGATTTGTGAACTGTCACACTGTATTTTGTTCCAAGTGCTAAATCAACTACGTTAATCAACTTCGTGATATACTTTGACAGCTCGCAAAGGTATGTTTAATTTTAAAAATAACTAAATCCATATATAAAAGTAAATTAATATATCAATTATGTTAATATTTCAGAAAAATTGATTTAAAATATTTTTTCGTTTATATTAGAAAATGACGATTCAATCAGTATGAATACAATACCGCAGCGCAAGTTGCAGAGTTCAGCGAAATCTCGTTTTCTTTGTGAAATCTGAGGAATTCGTTGGAATGTAATAGGTGAACACATTCTTTGTTCAAATGATAAAACCCTGAATAGAAAATCGAGTTAATGGCAAATTTATTTTTCTTTGCAAACGAAACGCTTTTTAATATTTTTCCCGGTGCGATGGCTTCAAAGGCTGGCGGTGGGAAAAGCAACGACAGAAACTGAATGTGATGTTGGCTGTGATTTGTACGCAGGCACACAAGAGATGATTGAACTGTATTCCACTTTTGTAATTGACATGTGTTTCCCTTGTTGAAAAAATATCCAAATTATGTTACTGCATTGCTGGAAAAGCAACCTTCAAGCCATTGAATGTAGAGTAACTCTAATGTCACAATGTTGAGGAATGTAGATTCAGATGCATTAAATCCATCTGTGTGTTTTGTACAACAATACTATAAGTGTTCGGTTTTCTGTCATATACATCTGTTTATTCATTACTCCAAAGATTCTGGGACATTGAAATGCCTTTAAATACTTTTTAAAAATCATTTTGTTGTGATATTGATTATCAATTTGCTATTAACAACTGTTGCTGCCGTATCATTTGCTTACATAAACCGAGTAGTGACAGTGAAATGCGGAATCAGTGATCATATAACATAAAATGAATGAATTATGAAATCTCATGCTATTAGAAAAAAAAACAAAATTATCATCAGCATTTTGGAATTTTGAAAAACTGAAATTATAATGATTGTTTTACTTCATTGTATAAAATTCTTTAATAAGTTTGAAAACTGAATATTTTTTGTGTATTGTGAAATTTTGTAATGTTCATTTTTCTTCTTTCAGAGATATTTAGTTCGAAAATCATGGTGAAATTGTCCTGTGACCAACTCTAATGAGCTTATAAGAAGCTGTGAATTCCAACAATAATAGTAATATTAATATAGCTATTTAGAGGATGGAAATACAACTCATGAAATGGGGAATGCTAATTTAAGTAAATTCTACTAACATATATGGAAAGGTAAGAATGAAAAAAATAAAATTTCTATGATACTTGGATCATGACATTCAAAAGTAATGTAATGTAAAATATTGTAGATACTGTGTCTCATACTTTAAATTAAAATATTTTATTTAATATTGAACGAATCTGAAAGTTCTTCACATGTCTATGAAGTTTTGCACATTAAAAGCTTTTTGAGTACCTGATTGTATTTTGAATCCTACTTTCATTTTTCATGAATGTTATGTCAACTATGATTTTTAATTAATTATGTCAACTATAATGTATATATGATGTTACAAATTTTGAATAATGTAGAACATTACGGACCTTATAGACTTGTATGTAGTAACTTTTAGTTTAACCATGTTTAGCATATGTCAAAAAGTCCTTTATGAACTTGAAAATGAAGGATATAATTTGTGTAATAGTATTTCTTTCATTAGACATTGTAACTTCATGACATGGAAAGTTTTAGTAAAGAGAATTTCCTGATATTGTATGGAACTCGTTAATTAGTCGTTAATTACTCATTAAAAAATTACAAAGGAACTCTATATTTTTTATTATATTTGTCCAGCAGTAGATTTTAGAGGTCTTCAGAGTTTTAGATGGAAATTGTGTTACTTAGGAACATCAAATGTGTGATGCCTTTGCTTTTGTGCAACAGGTTATTCCTTTTGAGGAGCTATTTAATTTTTGTGATTGTATTACATTTGCTGAATTTGCAGAAGCATTAGAGAAAGAGTCCAGAACCAGTATATTAAAATATTCATAGCAAGAAGGCAAGAAGTATGTTGTTGTGGTGAAGTCTTAATTTTGAATATAATCACCAACTTCAACTTATTTAGTGTTGGTAGAAAATGATGAAGATGTACCCTCACTGGAATTATTGGAATTTCAAAGATAAAACTATTAAGAAAGCGAAGGTTAAATTCACTTTGTTATAGCAATCTGTATTCACCAGATACAAAGCATTTTGGAATTCACTCTTTTATGTTTTATCTGTGAGTAACAGGAAAGTTTTGATGAGGGATGAAGTATAGTGTTAAAAGGCAACTACTTCGGCTTTTTGTGTATGGAAATAATAATTATTTTACACAAATTTAAAAATAATTAATTTGTTTGTAATGATATTACAAGACTACATTTTAGTGTTAACAGAGTAGTTGGCCCTAGTTTTGATAATTATTGATTGGATTTTGATTTTTGATTTTGTATTGAAATGGATCGATATTTAAAAACCCAACTTTGTATGAAGTTGTTCATATTTATTGGTTATGTTATTACCATTACATTTTGATAACAGGTTGGTAGTTGACCAGTGAATGTTTCTTGACTGATGTAAGTTTGGAATTCATCCAGCCACTTGGATGTAATCAGAAATCAGATAACTATATATCTTTGCATACCTGTGAGTAAGTTTCAATGAACTCCATGTTATAGTAAAAATGAATTGAATAGATGGTAGAAAGGTTGGGTTGACTAAACTAAATTTTAGGCTTCAAATATCGATCCTATTTTTACTCGCAGACTAGATGGTAGTAAGATGGACTAAAATAAATTTTAGGCTTCAAACATCTGCATATATAAAAGATGATAATAAGATTGAAATCATATCTCATAATACATTCATGTAAATTGCTGATGGCTTGCTTGAGATGATGATCAAAATGTTTACCTCTGATTGAGAGTATTTTCTTTGTAAAATTGATCTTCACATTGAAAATTATCAGTTGATGTGGTATTGTTTCAAATTACATGTCAGTTTTCTGTCCTTCTAGGTTCTAGTTCCTTTGGAACGATATCGTATCCCGAAAAGATCTACTGGAATACTAGTTAGCATTATTACATTGCTGTGAAGTAATTAGAATCTATTGCTGTGAATTGAAGAATTGTATTAAAAGTTCTTTAAAAGAGCATAAAGTTTGGTTGTTGATTTTGGTGAAAGAATTTTAATACAACATGGCTACAAGGCTTGAAACATGGTCCAAATTAGAAGTGCGTAGTGTTGTGCGGTTTTTGACAGCCAAAGGTTTATCACCTACAGAAATTCATAAGGAATTAGTGGCAGTTTATGGGGAAGCTGTAATGAGTAGGAAACAAGTATCGGTTTGGAGCAATGCTTTTAAACATGGTCGTGTAAACTTGGAAGACAAACCAAGATGCTGAGTTTATGATTTTGCCTTATCAAAGCAGTGGCTGGGATTTGGCATCATCACTTCGTTACTTCTTTGTCTGGGCAATTAAAATGACTTATTTTGGCATCTAATGTTTTGTCTTTAGAATTTACAGACCAAGTTTTCCTTCATGATTGAAGATCCTTCGTATTGATGAACTGGCAGGCTTGTAGTTATGTGGAGTAACTTTTTCTTGACAATCAGGCAAGGTCTTTAGAAAAGTTTTTGTATTTACTTAGGGACTGATGTCGTTAGTGAAGGAAAATGTACAAAACAATACAGCAATACTCTTCAGGCAGCACACAATGAATTCCTGGAAATGTGTGCTTAATTTGTTCTTCCGTGCATTAAATATGTAAAGCATTTAGAATTGTAAAACTCAGTATTTTATATAATAAAGTATAATTTCCTGTGAAACTTGAGAAAGTGTGTTTTACTATTTTTTAAGATATTCCCAAAACATTAACTGAGTATTAATCTGGCACTTACAAACATAAGCATTCTAATAATAAGTCTGTGGTTGAAGATGAAACCAAAATGAAAATGCCACATAAGATGTTAAAAACTATTTAAAGATATTAAAAAACAACAACAAAAACAACAAAATACTAATAATTTGGAGTCGCATTTCTTATGTTGCCATCAAATTTTTTCTTTTCTGTACTAGTGATATGAACTTTTTCTTTAATTGAAGTATCTCCTTGAGAGATTTACCTTGTATTTATCAACTTAGAAAATGCTTATGAAATGGTTCCATTAGGTAAACTCTTCTAAATTCTGGAAAAGGATGGCTTGATTCACATACCAATCTTTTACTGCATTTATATGCATGTGAATCAAGAAACAAGAATAAAAGTGGGTAATGAAGTTTCGCTGTCATTTGGAGAAAAAAAAGGGTCTTAGACTAGAGTGTTGTTTATCACCTTTTTGGATTAAGATTTACCTACAAGAAAGTCTAAAAGGATGGCAAAATATATGTCGAGGTATGGGAATATACATGGATGAAGATTGCCTTCATACATTATTATTTGCTGACGATCAAGTAATTTTGTCCAATGATGATTCTGACATGGAGTATATGATGGGACAGCTGACATGGAGGCATATGAGTGGAAACCTACAAAAAAGCAAAATTAAAGATCAATTTCCTCAAAACAACTATGGTAGTGGGAGAGAAGAAAAGTAATCATATACCAATATATGGAGAACAGATGGAAGTATGCCATAAATTTAAATATTTAGGTAGAATTATTAGCAAAGAAGGAGATTCCAGTAAAGATATTGTTTCAAAAGTTGCATGAGGGCAGGAAGGTATTAGAGAGTTAAACTTACTGCTCTGGGGAAATGAAATTTCCAAGTATACCGAAAAAGACTTTTTGACTCTTATCATACAAAGTATAACACTGTATGGCTCAGAAACATGGAAACTGAAGAAAAGAGAAAGAGAGAAAATAATGAACTTACAAACGGATTTTTTGAGAAGTTGCAGAGTATCTAAAATGGAACACATTAGAAATAAAGAAATAAGTGAATGCAGGTTCAAAAATCAATAATTGATGAATTGGAAACACGAATGCTGAAATGGTTCGGTTACGTGAAAAGGCTTGACTGTGGGAGATGGCCCAGAAAGGTTAGTGAGTGGTTTCCTTTCGACAGAAGAAAAAGAGATAGACCCAGAGACGAATCACTGAATCAGATTTTTAACAGTATCCAAAGAAGAGGTCTAGAAGGGAATGCCTGGAGCGAAAGAACGGAATGGAGATTGGAATGCGCGACATGCCTGCAAGAGCTGTAAAATACTCGCAAGAAGATCTCCTTGATGCCATCAATAATTACAGTGTCAGTCCTTTTCTATTAGGATATTGACAAAGAAATTTATTTCATGACTTTGTACTTCTCGATTCACCACTCATGAAATGAAGTCTGTAAGAGTATATAAACTTAAATGTACTCTATTGTTCATGTTCACTGTATTCCCAGAATGTAGAGATCAAACTACTATTATACTAATAGAATTAACAATTGAAGGGAAAATTTTGTATTTTCTCTCCTTGGAATTGCCTCAATAATATTATCTTGAAGTTTTGGTTAGCTTGGTTGGTTTTTGTGAAACTCAATGAAACACAAATTAAGTTATTGAATTAGCACACTGAAATATGTTGGGTTTTTATTACAGAAAATCTTGTAATACAAGTATTGGATATTGAAACTGGGTTCAAAATGGTATGACAACATAAACATTTGAACCTTTTGGAACAGGATAAGTGGAAGTAACATATCCTTTATTAAAAGCTAACGTAAGATACTCTGCATTACTCGGGCATTTGTTTATCTCCTATTAGGTAGTAGGTGCTAATGGCTTTGCCTGGGTTATGCATACAGATGCTTCACATTACATCTATAAGAAGCACTTTTTTTACTTGTTTTTTTAAGTGTAAAACAAACAAAGAATAATCAATTTACAATTTTCAATGAAAATATGTTATAATCTGTTAAGATCAAATTGAAGCTGCCCTGTGTTGTCTCATCCTGCCTGTCTCCGCCCCATCCCGTCCTGTCCTATCATATCCAATCTGGTCCCATCCTGTCTTGCCATGGCTATGCCCTTTTTTCCTTCATGTCTGGCGTGCCCTGCCTGCTCTGCCATGTCTACTTCAAGCCCAGTCATACCATGCCCTGTTCACTTCATTCCAGGTACTTCACACATTTTCTAACTAAAATAAAACTAAACCAAGAAAAATTTCAATACAGAAACAAAACATACATGATGTTTTTTCATTAATTTTATAACTCTTGTACACTTAATACATTTGCACCTAGATGCAATTAATATCAATTTCTAACTTACCTTTAAAAATATTTAACATGTGAAGAAAAACTGGTATGTATTATCGTTCTGAAATAGAAACACTTTGGGGTAATTGAATATAGAATTACCACTCGACATAATTTCCAATAGTTGTTTCAATATTATTTAATAAATTAATTCTTCTATTACATGTTATACTTCTATGAATGTTTCCTTTTCTGTTTGTTCACTTGTTTTGTATTTGGATTTGAATAATACCCAGGCTCAATTGGTAACTCTTTTTGTACTCCAAAATTTTTTTGTAATAATTTTTTTGATACATTTTTTGGGTAACATTTTGTATTGTAATAATACTTTTGATTCTTGGCTGCTCAAAAGTATTCTTCCCCAATTTAGGAGCTGTCAATACTGTTTCCTATTTTTGTATTGTGACACATTGTATTGTAAGCAATTTCACTTTTATATAATTGATTTCCTTTTGGGTAGACGTATAAGACTGAGAAAACATCTTAGTTATCATCAATTCAGTTAAAATTTGTTACATTTGAATTTGTTACACAGAATGAGGAGAAAATAGAAAATGAGAGTACCAAACAGGCTGCTTTAGTAAAAATTGAAGGAAACGTCTTTGGAACAAAATTAATTTGGAATCTACACATCAATAGATTAAGATATGTTTGTAAATGTTTTTAAAGATTAAACATAATAATTAACCTCATGAAACTTGGGATCTAAATGAATCTACTTAATAAACACTTACCGATCATTAATAAGATCTAAACTTAATTATGAATCTTATTACCCAGAGGGATCTAAAAGTTTGATATGCCTTAGAAATATTCCAGACTTCACCTTATGCAAACAGCTTGAGGTTTTGACTTTTGTATTTGAGAAAAATACCCATGAAACTAGAATAGCAAGAGAACATTTTATTATTGAGTGTCCAAATTTCCAGTATTTTATACAAGAAGTCAAGTCTGGCTAATAATAATTCTTAAAATATTTATTTACCAAATTCAGACAACTTAATTTCTTTAAACAATTTAATCAAAGAAAATTCAATTTAGAAAGTTTTTTAAGTTGATATGAAATATACCAGAAGACTATAATTTGAACTTGATATGAGGTATACCAGAAGACCTTCCCCCCCCCAAAGGCATGAATTTTCATTTGTTGTCTTCTTTTATTTAGCAAAAATGATATAAATATTTGTTAGAATTATGTAACTATTAAAAAAATGATAATGCATAGTAGATATCATATACACCAAAAAATAATAGTAGACAATACATTAACAAATAGTATGTTTATTATTTATCAAAAATCTATGAAGATCCCCCAAAATGATTGGCTGGATTTGCCCCTGTAGTAACACTAACGTATGATCACTAACTCTTAAAAATTGCAAAAGTGTTTTGAAATTCTTTAGTATGAGTTTTGCTCAACCTTACAATCCATATCTGTAAGATGTCTTATGAATTGAGGTGTAACTTAAATTTGAGGATATTATATTTTTTTGAGAAAGTCCAATATTAGGGAAAAACGTTTTTTCAGACAGCTGAAAACTACTACCCAATTTAAAAGTTTTCTGGAATCTACTACCAAATATTAATTGAATAGATAAGATTTTAAAAATTGAATAGAGTTAGTTTTTAATCAAGAAAGAATTTGAATATGAACCTTTTCAGAATTCATTTTAACCTCAAAACCCATTTAATATATTTAATTATTTACACATTTAATTTCAAGATTAACAATTATTTTTCAGACCATATTTTGTTGATAGTATTTGAAACACAAACTGATTGTAAACAATACACATTGGATTCCGAATAAATGGGGTTTCTCCATATACTCTCTAATTTTTGAGTCACAACTAAAAATATTGTGAAAAATATTGTTGGAATCAGCAACAACCTGTTGTTTACAATAATGTAAAATTATAAGTAATATGTTACAATTATAAAAGGTGAAAAATCCAGTGGCAAGGTGTGATATATTTATGTTGTTATCACAAGGCTGGTTGAATATGCAGGGCTACTTTTCTGAATCTATTGGGCCGAGATGAACATGCAGAGTGGGCGGTGGTCCCCCTGAAAGATTTGAAAGGGGCCCTATTGCCTTAAGTAACAAAACATTTTATTTTCGTAAATAGGATCAGATTTTAATTATTTTAATTATTCAATTACTTTTTTTGTAAATAGGATTCAATCTTGGATTTTCCCTTTTTTTAACTTGACAATATGGAAAATTCTTTATGATGTAATAGTCTCTTAAAGCCAGGGGTGGATCCAACAGGGGTTCATCATAGATTGTTATTAAATAATAATCATGTTTCAAATAATTACATAATTGTAACATTAATAAATATTTAAATCAATTTTGCCAAATAAAAGAAGATAACATACAAAAACTCTAGGCGTGGCCCCCTTGACCCCCTGTATCCGCCATTATTCCAAACCATATGTCAACCTTGTGTATGGTTCGATATAAAATAAATGGAAATTGTTAATTGCCACTTAAGTTGTAATTTTATTCTTCTGCAAAATATGTCATAAATAAATGATGAGTTTAATGGAAAGAGGCTTCAGAATTGTACTTCCCTCCTTGTTCTAAGCTGCACACACCAATTCTACTGGGAGATAGGATATTCGAAATCTTTTTTCTGCAATCGTATAAAAACATGAGTTTCTACTCTTTTCTTAAAACATCTGAAAAACATGTGGTTACCTTGTGTAAAAGATTTTTTCATGTTGAGATCACAGTGTAAAAATACGTTTATACATGATACGTAGGTGACAAGAGAATTAAGAAAATAAAATTGCAAAACAACTTTAATAGTGCCTAAACTTTTAATTATTTATTATTATGAAACTAATTAAGTGCTAACTAATTATTACTAACTAAACTATTAATTAAAAACCAACAATTACCTCTAAGTACCACAACTAACTACTAACCAATTAATAACCATTTACTAACTACTAAAGGATTCCTAATTAGGAAACTAATGATAAGAGCTTAATAGAAATATGATAATAAAACACTTTACGATACCTTCATACATCTCTTAGAAGTGCACAAGTTTTTTGTATTCCATCATTATAAATGAACTTTATCGTTACAAGATATCTTCAATACATATCTTATAGCACAGATGTGATGTTTCTGTTTATTGTATGAATACTTTTTTTTTTCTGCGAAGAGTGTAACCAAAAATATGAAACATGTGTTTTTCATTTTTCCCCAAATATTATTTTTAGACATTATATTAATTTTCAAAAAATTTTGAAAAAATGTGCACTTTGCTAATTTAATCATTTTTAATTCGTATTGTCAATGTGACAGAAATTTAATGTTTTGTGTCATTAAAGAACAAAATATGCTCTTTCATTTGGTGTATATATTGAATTCATTAAATTTTTTAAAATCTTTTTTTGGTCTATTTCATTTTTATTTTTTAAATTTCTCCCAAAACTTGACAGTTTAAAAATTTGGAAAAAGAAATATCTTTGAAATTTAGTAAGTTACAAATTGGGATATTGAGATGATTCTAAGAAATTAAATACAATGGAAATGTCAACTTCCTGTTTTGCTGCAGGGTCTGCTAGTGTGTCACCCTTCAAGTACAGGCCAATCAAAAGTAGATAATTACCATCAACACACTTTCATGGAACAATAAATAGAAGTAGCCCTTCACATCTTACATGTGCCATATACATATATATGACCTTCCTAGTCGATTACATTCTAATTAAAAAGTGTCAAACGGATTCAATTTAGTATTAAATGTACTGAATGTTTATATGAATAGGGGTATGTGATACAGTTAATTACATTGTTATTTCTTTTACTTCACTTTACAGAGAATATCGTTAATTCAGCTTTTCATAAAGGAATGGAACTGTACTTTCTTTATGCCTTCTACTGTTTTTTATTATATCATTGTTGCAACAGTCCCCTTTCCCAGTGAAGTATTGTTCAGTGTTGCTAAAAGTAGAAAGGAGATGTTTTTCACATTATCATCAGCCCACTGAAATAACTTCTAGGTAAATTAATAGATTTCTGTCAGGATTGAAGGCTAGCTTTTATCAAGACTATTATAGTTGCCCCTCCCCCCCCCTCTACTTCACCCCTTTCCATAAGACATTGCGAAGCGAAGAAATGCCATTCAGCACTCACATTGAAGGCATCTTTATGGAAGCATAAACTCACATTGTTTTTGTAATACTAGGTAGTAACCATGAAAAATGATGATCCATAAACAGAATCTGCAATGGTAAATGGGGCTTCAATATATCCATATGCTTGAAGAATAGTAAAGTAAATTCCTAATACAATTGTTAATAATAATCCTCTCTGGTACTGACCCCATCCAAAAAAGATGTCTGTTAACTCTGTCATAATTTTACTTGAGAAGTATTATGAGTTTACACTGAAAAGGGTGCATTGAATTCGTGTCATGTTTCAGGCATCCAGAAAAATATATTTAAAAAAAAAAAATACTCTGCCTTCTCTGAAGTATAGCACAAGAGGATGCACAGTAGTCAATACATTTATTTACAGCAGTCTCTGAATAAAATCTTCAAGTTCGAAAGAATAATTTGATTAAAAAGTCACCTTGAACAATGAAAAATCGTAGCGTCAATTTTTTGTCTCATGAAGAGAGCAGAAGACTGCAAACGATGACAGCAGAAAAAACAGAAGCCTAACTTACTCGGTCAGTTACTTTATTACTCTATCACGTGATACGTTAGGGTGGCCAGGACCAGGGGTAAACGTTTTTCATCATTGTCACTGCCCAACATATTTGCGGCATTAACGAGTATGGTCGATTCTCACTTTATTGAAAAAAAAAAAAAATCACTTACTGTCCACATGAAGGAATTTTGAAAACCAGTTTTTCAATACATTCAACTTTTTTTGACGGCAACCAATCAATTTTCAACTTCTCAAGAATGCTGGTTGTATCAACCTGAACCTACACTTCTGCAATTATAGATTTTCATATTAAGAAAATGCAAATAACTATAGTATTGATATTATTGTAAGACTATCTGTGGTTACTAATTTCACAGAACAACGCACATGTTTCGCGGATTCCTCTGTTTACACAACCGGCTCAGTGTAATCTGAGAAAGGCTACTCTGTTTCAGGCAGACCCTAGCTGTGTCAGCTGTTTATAAGTAAACTTAATAGTCGCATTTCTTCAGAAGGCTTCCATTTGAGACCGTAGGTGTGTTTCTGCGATTCATGACATGACATAACACACACGGTTGCTTTATGTTGGACGTCACGATGCGTCGTGTCATTGACATACCGTAGTGTGAGCAGCTAGTCCGGCGGGCTGCCTACGTGTTCCGGCGAACAAACCATTAAAAAAGTTATTTATGTGTGTGTCAATTTGAAATTTGGCAGATATATACAACATTAGTGTAGAAATACATGAGTATTTCTTACAATAAACTTAAGTGTCTATCTAATGTAAAATTTTGTATTTTAAAAATTAAAATTTATTTTTAACATTTAAATATTATGTTTAAAAAATATATTTACACCACATGAAAGTATATCTTTTTAACTTAAATTTAAGTGTAACTTTATTTTTCTGAAGAATACGGTATTTACGCACAAAGAATTAAACAAGCGCGCGTGAGTTTTCGGAAAAAAATAATTGATAATATTTCTGAAAGGGGTGGGAATAAAAAAAACAACAAAACACGAAGATACTTGTTTATAACTTGGTTAACTCGGGCACCGATAAATATAGTGGAACTAGCAGTTCGGATTTTACTGTGCCAGTCTTCGACCAACTGCATGAATGGTTTGATGTCGTTTGGGGAAACTCCAAAAAAGAAGAAAAAAATAGTATCACAAAAAAACTATCCTGGACAGAAGTTTAACAAAATAAAGCAGACACTCCAAGAAAAGATTTTCCACGTTTATGACAAGGAGGCCGAGTAGGTCAAACTGCAATTTAATACAGAAACTGTTTGTAGAAATAATGACCGAAATGTTATTTTTCAAATTTTAACAATTTTTGAAGACTGTCCATATGATAAAATTAAGGAACGTTTTGTTTAATCAATTCATGGGATAAAGATTGTAGCTGCACAGAGAAGGATACTAACTACACCACATGCTGTATTTCCGTGAGTCATGATAGTTACACAAATAAAAAACAAATTTCGTGTTTATTATTTTATGAACTTTTGTAAAACATATATTAATGAACTTCAATAGTCAATTTTACTCGCTTCTGACATTGTCATTATATTGATAATAGACTGCATGCGATAATAGACTTCATACGGTTCGAACCTGGATGCTGCTGCCCTCCACATGCCGGATGTTCGATTGAGTAAGTTAATTTATTACATTCTGTATTTATTCCTATTTCATTCTGAAATTTCGCACAATTATAGAATAAAAGGTAAGGAATTTAGTGATGTTTTTAAATGTTTAAAAACGCGAACTAAAAAAAAATAAAAAATTAAAGTTAAAAAGCTACAAAAATACTCTTAATTTTAGTATAATTTTAATGCAACTATAATAACAGGTCGAGTTCTATTATATAAAATGAATAGTTTGAATTCTTTAGTTTTTGTAGTAAAGGAGAAATGAGCATTTATATAAGACAGGACGGACGCAATTTTGTTATTTTTAATTTCGGATAACTTTAAAGATAAATGACTTACAAAAACAAGAAGAAGTGTGTTTTTTTGCTATTAGAATGGACACACAAAGTTTTAAAAAAATCAAATAATTCGAGGTCAATGACAGAGGATATTCGAGGATATTCTGTGAATATCTGAGTAATGTTTTTCTGATTTTCGGAAACTTTTAAAACTAATTTGATATTTGAGTCATTGATTTTTTTCACAAACCGAATAAAATTTCTTAACCATCGTGTTTTCAATGAAAAGTGCGCTTTTGATTGTCTTCAATGCCTCTCCCTTCTCAAGATCCTTTCCAGCAAGGCACGCTGGTCTTTCTGACTTGCTTCTGTTAAATTGTTGCTGTCAAAGTTCGCAACTTCGAGTCGAGGACAGTTGTCGATAAAGTCAGGCACTTCGGTGAGTCGATTCTTCCACACCTGGGGAAAGGGATTAAAGATATTGTAGGATTGAACCATTGCGCATTGGAATAAAATGGCTAAAACCTGGCCAAAATTGAAAAAAAAAGTGTCTAGTTGAGAATTTTTAACTCTTAAGTTGACTACACTATTGGGACTAGTAAATCCCGCACATAAGAACGTCCGGAACTTAGAAGTGAAAGCTGTTTTTCAGGTTGAACATAGGGCTCTATTGTGTTTACAATATCACTCTAGCCGGACGGAAATTTTAGTACGGAGTTGAATATTTTTGCTCTGGAAAACAATCATTCAAATTTTAAAATGGGACATATTACAGAGGTAATGTACTTAATTATAAGCCCTTGTTTAATAATTTTTTTCAAGTTAAACATGTTTTTTAAATGAGTGTTCGTGCCGGTTAGAAATAAAATTTATTTATAAAAAGAAGAAAAAAAGGAGAGAAGAGTTACAAATCCCACAATATCCCACTTTCATTCAAATTTCTTGATGCTCTTTATATATCTTATTTAAATTAAAATAATTTTGCTTAAAAAATTACGGGGCTATGGCTATTTAAAGAATTCGAAATATTAATTGGCCAATTTTAACAATTTTAGCGTAAAATTGGCCATATTCTGACGATTATGGCACACTGAGTCAAATAACTGGTTATGGGATATGTGGGACCCCTAAACCCATTTTAAAATCGATTTTTATTTGGTGCCAGTATTGTTCTTGCATCGAAAACTAACTTTTTTTGCTAAGCCATTGCATTCTAGTTTTTTCGATGCAGCCTAATATACAAGTATTTTCATATATACTTATTAATACCACCAATCAAGTGGGAATATCGAGTTAGGAGCAAATTCTGCCGCCAAAGTTAAGAACATATTTCACACAGCATGACAACTGAACGATTAACATTCGATATTAGCCGGAAGCTAATTCCCACGGAATTGATCTCTAAATCGGATCCTCTAAAATTTGAAGTCGGAGTCGAAGGCTGCAAAGTGGTCTGACGGTGGTTGGAAGAAGTACCTGCAGCTCCCGGAGCGCGCGGAGGCCGAGGAAGAGGCGCGGCGGCAGCGCCTGCAGGTGGTTGGCGTGCAGGTCGAGCACCTCGAGGCGCGCGCACGCGTCCAGCAGAGTGGGCGGCAGCGCCGACAGCGCGTTGCCGCTCACGTCCAGCCGCTGCAGCTGCGTGCGGCCGCGGAGCAGCCCGTCGGGCAGCCACGTCAGCAGGTTGCGCGCCAGCGACAGCCTCCTGAGCAATTCCGTTATTCCTTTATTGCTTTCGCGTATATACGGAGTAATATACGAGGTTTAGGGAAAGGTATGTAATGCTACGGAAAATGGATTTCGAGATTTCAACGGAAATACACGTTTTGGTGACCACTGATCCCGAAAAAGTGTTTTTTTTTCAAAACGCCCGTCTGTCCATTTGTGAACACTACTAGCGCATAATCCATGTGGAGGCGCCTAATCCATGTGGAATTTTTTCAAAATTGAAGAAACCCCTGTCCACCTGTCTTGAGTCGAAGCTATGAGATTTTGACAAACACTCTTTAAAATTTGAAGGAATTTTACAAGATGCCTCCCGAACATTTTCAAAATGCTCTTTTTTTAAAATTTCTTGTAAGAATAGAGTAACATACACTTTGAAAAGTGGTGAAGGTCCGATTTTCACGGTTAACTTTGAATTTTAGAAATTTTCAATAGTATAATTTTTTTCGGTGTCTTCCTACTGTAATGGTTCATAAACTTGTGATTTAAAATTTCTAATAATTATCCCCTTCCCTATTTTATCCCATACTTGAGCGAGTCAAAATCTGTAAACTAATAACAATTTATTTATTTACGCCAAGTTACGCTCCTACAATTCAAATTTATGTGTGAGTTCGCGAAGTCACCCCTGTACAGGAAACCGAAATATTATTATATTCATTTGGGAACCTGGCTCTCTGTGTTCTTTCTCATACCATTGGGTTTATATTACCTGCTAATATATACAAAAAATTTTAACAATGCTATCAATATGAGCAGCAATTATTTATTCACAAATACCAGATTTCAAAATACTACAAGGCGAATTCTGCACGCCGCCGTATATACACCAGATTTCTATAGTATCAAAACAACATGACACAAAATTTACCATTTAAATACAACAACATATCTTGAAGAAAACAAATTCAATAACATTCATTCATACATTTTAAAACTGCATTCATTCACGCGAGTGCACTCATTTTGAAGAAAAAAAACAAACAAAAAAAACTTAAATGGACATTACTAATAAGTACTTAGTTGGTTAAAATCTTGACCTTGTTTTAAGATTGTTGCAAAATTGCGTCACCTCCAAAACGCCAACCCGTCTGTCTATATGCACTGTTGCACACATTCCTTCCCACTGTGCAGTTTAAAACAAAGGACAGTTCTTCTCTTCTGTCAAACTCGCTGTACATTTTTATATTCCAATTTTAGATGTCTTTTGGTTTCCTCAATTTCTTCATTGTTATAATTTCTAATTAAACTTCAGATAACAAATTGAATCACTCTCCTCTTATTACAAATTCCTAATATTTTATTGCGTAAACGTTTGTGTAATCGCTTATTTCTTATACCCTTCACTTGTCTTTTCCAAACATTACATTCATTCATTTAACAAAAGATTTTAATTATTATATAATAACCCTGAGTTTGAGTGACTTCTCATTAGTTCTCATTAGCAATTCTTCCTAAACGGTTCTTTATTTATTCTTCCCAAGTCTGGTACCAGCGTAGTTCCTTGGATTCTTTTAGAAATAAACACTGTACTTCCCCCCTTGCACCTTCGACTATTTCTCTGTACTCTATGATATGACATGTACTCTATGAGATGACAGATGACATCACTTTGCTCTATCCTTTTGTTTTTTCAAAAATTACAAAAATGTAATTTTTTTTACTTGTCTCTCACGTTGTTAATATTTATATTAGCAATTTGTTCACATTATATTTAAGAGTACAAGAACTTTAAATAATGTTATAATATAAAGTTTCTCTAAAACTCAACAGTTTTCTGTGAAAACTACCTTAAAATTTCGCATTTTCAGAAACGCACAAACACAATTTTTTCAAAAACGGCTCAAAATTTGTTCTTCGAGCTTTTGAACGGATAGTGCTAATTGCACTCTTTAATATGTCGCAAAGTTCATTTTTTGTTTCTTCAAAAATATACAAATGTAATTTTTTTGAAAGATTTTACACGCCGTTAATACGCACATTTCCAGCAATTTGTAAACCCTGTTGCATTTGTGCGTTAAAGTGATTCAAATGACTTATTTTGAAGTTTTTCGAATACTCAAAAAGTTTTTGTGAAAAAGAGCTTAAATTTCGAATTAACAGTAGCTTTTAAACGCCATTTTCTTAAAAAGGATTCCACGTTTTTCAAAGTTAATTGCCATTTAAGACAAAGTTTTACTGTTCTTTAAAATTCTTGAAATAATAGTTTTGTTCTACTATTAGGAAACAAAAATTAAGAAAAAAAATGTTCTTGGGCGGCGATAGAAGGCAGCTGACAAAAGTATGGGGCAAGTCCGAATAGCTTGTTGAAATCAAAGGAAATTGAAAGCAAATAAAGTCTGTGCCATTACCCCACTAGTTAGGATTATTATATAATGCGTAGAAGCACTTCTAGTATACAGATGGGGCAAAACCGTCTAAGCAATTTTGAGGAGTTATAAAAAAATACGCAGTATAAATACGTTTCATTTTCAATGTAAGTATTACACTCATTTTATATTCAACACGTTTTGAAAATAGTAACCGAAAGTTTGCAGCGTTATTGCAATATTCTGATGGAGTTTTGAATAGCCCGTGACATATATTGCGGGTTGGGGTATTTACATATTCAATAATATGCTTCGTAAGCTTCAGGTACATGTGTGAGGGGCAACGTTTTGACCCATCTTCCTCCAGATATCCCCAAAGAAAGAAGTTACAAAATGCTGAAATCTGTGAGAACACAGAATCAAAAATAAGAAATAAAACAATTCATTGATGTTGAAAATAAATTTTCAATAAAGAATTATTCTTATTTATCGATGAGATTTCTTGGAACATTTACAACATTTTCTTGAAATATTATGAGTCATTATTCAAAATTTTCGTGACAGCTTTTCTTTTTCGTGATGAGTTACAAAAATATTTAAAATCTTTTTACTCTTGAGAAAAGCACGTCCACTGAAAAGCTGATAGAAATTTCACCGAATCCTGTTGATAAAGAAAAATAATGGTACAGCGTAAAACACAAACAAAACCTAACAAGACACGTCTTTCATTCTTCGCTGTACACCCACATCCCTCCACAATTTGGTACACAATATTTGTAGACCTCGGAAAAACGTTAAATGAATGTTTTTACTTCACGCATAAGAAACAATCTTCATCGGAATCAAGCAACATCAGTAATTGTACTTCTACTAGTAATAGTAGTAATGAAGCAACAATAGTATTTCTAGTTTTGCTGTGAGAGCGAATCTTGAATTGATAATTATGCAAATAAATCTCGCCAGTCAGCGCAACCACGGTGTACTCAGAAAGCGTACATAGTGCAAGACAGAGGAATCTAAGTTTTCTGAGCGTGACATCACAAAGATGGCCACCATCACCAAGACCTGAAATCTAGGCGGCATTGGTAGTATCGATAAGTGCCGAACCAGCAAAAATTGAATAGAATGTCCACGAATATCTCATCTTGTAAATTACGGCGCGGGAACGTTTCTTTAAGGCCTTTCCCTCAAAGGGTTTTAGTTTTTAAGGCCCTTAAACGCTTCGATTTGGGAGTTATTTAACGATATAGCTGAGTGAGTGCTGCGGGTTGCATTTGACATGAATATTTGGATTTTTTAAAACAAATCCATCATATTTTTTAAGTAAAAGTTCAATTCGTCACGTCTCCGTGAAAATCTCTTTCTTTAGAGACCTCATTTATATAGAGCGGTGGCGTGTGAGAGCCGCAAAAGGTATATATTCTACTAAAATAATATAGGAGACGATAACTAATAGCATATATAATACTTATAATACAGATTAATGTCACTAACTCCCTGTTGCATCATGAGAGTACAGAGTTAACAGCGTACTGCCGCCACAGTTGGAACAAATTCCATACAGCAAGACGGTGAGATTAATTAGCATTCGCTAAAAGTTGCCTTCTTAGGTCTTTTCACCATGTTTTGGTCCCAAATATTTTCAATATAGCGAACATTCGGTCCTGCCAACTTCGAAAATGTACAAGAAGCTGGGCTTCGGCGATACATTCAAATATACGCAATTTGAGGTACGCCACCAATAATTTCTCTCATTATAACATTAATTTTAATCCACTGAATGTTTTGAAACATTGAAATAATTTTCATTTAGACCAATATTTAGATAATTTTCTCCCGAAACTCGTAATGATGATGAGAAGTTTAATGTTTTACTTCATTGTAAAATGAAAGAATAATTAGAAAACTTTGGTGGAATAAATTAACAAATTTCATTTTTCAAAAGTTTTTGTAAATGATTGATTAGAATATAGAATGAATGAAAGGAAAATTTTTAGAAATCAGAGTATTTCAGAGTATTTCTTAAATTTTATTTGTCTGCCTTTTATAATTTCCCTCATTCTACAATAATATATTTCATCTGAATATTCAACATTGAAAACTAAGGATGAAGATTTAAAACAATATTTATAAATTTTTCTACCAAGTAATTTTATTTGACAATAATGACATATTTTTCCATGAAATCATATACATTCGCTGTTCCGATGTATAATAATTGTTTTCACAATGTACCCCATTCTTATCTCTATATTCATCCATAATTTTCTCAGCATGCCCCACTGCATTTTTCCAGTTTGTAGTGGGTAACTTAAAAATATAAGTAATGTATTCATAACAATTTATTGAATATAGGACATTGAACCTTGTTGTGGCTGCGAAATACTCGTAAGATAAGTTGGGTGAGCAATTAGTAGAAGCTGCTACTAATTGCGAAACGTCACCTCTTCTGTCAGTACTTTTTTATCAGACAAGAGTGTTCTGGAAAAGAAACGACACATAATTGACAAGGATTGTTACTTGGAGAAAGAATCAACGAGTATTGAAGTAGATTATCCCGGTTACGAGTACCTATGTCCAGACGAAATGAAACGTTTCTTTACGAATTTCGTTGTTTTTACTTGACGTTACTACTGCATCCACTTATGGTTGCGTAGGCTTCCGCGGCCGGAGTTTATGTTGGCTAGGCTATCCGGGACGAGCCGCGTCAATGTCATGGTGGCTAACGTTTCGGCCAGCGTATTGTGGCCTTCTTCAGAGCGTACTGCTGAGCAGTACCTAGCCAACTACTGCATCCAGTGCCTCTGATGTCAAAGCGAGCTGGTGACGCGTTGTGGCGTCTACAGTGGAAATCGCACAGCGCATTTCGCACCGCGAAATTTCACAATGGTATATTTTACGCGGGGCTGCCCAGGAGCTGATGCGATCTTTCGGTGACGGTACGAACTAACAGGAAACAGTAGACAATACACGTCAAAGAGCTTTGTACGAAAGAAGTAAGTATGTGGTCAACCGGGAAGAAATTCGCGTGGCTTTTTTGAGTAGATTTAGGCCAGATCTCCAGGACGCCAAGGTTGAAATGTATGATCCTTTTCTCTGAAACTCCTTCAAAGAACATGAAAACTCTTCTTTTTGAAACGAGGCGTCAATTTGAAACAATTTGGCGGTCAATGTGCCAACAAACCTCATTTTCCTTGTGGTAAATGAGTCAATGAATATAGATAACTAAGATACCTGTTACTCACTTGAAGTTCGAGTTGGTGAGTGCGAAGAGGCTCCAAAGTGGTACAGGATATGGCGTTTCATGCTGTGCAAAAAACCTTTAACCTACAAGTGTTTTACGATTGTCTGATAGCAATCTCGCCACCCAAGCACGTGCCCCCACTGGTTACGGTGTTTTGCGAGTGTTTGTCTCGGGTATTCCCATGAACGAAATTAACAATTGAAAAGTGCTCCTATATCGTAAACTACCAGTATTTTATTTTATAACCGCCTGAAATTATGTGCAAGTTAGTTAATTATTCACGAGCGCGTTAGCGTGAATGGTCTTTCAGCCACGCGGAATATACAATATTTTCTTATCCGATCGCCTTTGCTACATTTTGAGCGTATTCTTTTCTACAAGAGGGCGTGATGACGAATGTAATATATTTATTTCGGCGCTACATTGGAGGCCTTACAAGGAATATAGTTGACAATCGTCTGATGCGAGAAACTGGAAGATATTCCTGAAAGTATTAAAAGTGAAGTTGCGAAAGCTGTGGAATGATATGATAGTAATTTGTCATGGTATATAACATTATAAAGAATACGAAATTTTCAAGGAGTTGGGGAAAGAGGAAAATATTAAGAACATATGCTATTAGCTTTTTTTGCAGCGAAAGTAAGTACTTACTTAATCCAGGTCCGTAGAAATGTGTACGAAAGTGTATTATACTTTGTTATTTGATAAGTATTATTAGAAAAGTATTATTTTCATTATCTAAGTATAAGTTTCTATGTATATTCCTTTATTTTTCAATAAAATATTGATTTTGTGTGCATCATATTGTTCCGTACGCCGGCAGTAGTTTTGCTGTTTTTTATCGTGACGATTGATTGATACGAACTTTATTACAGCGCTGCAAAAAGAGCCATTTCACCTGCTCCAAACAACAGCCTGCAAAGGCGATCTGATACGATCAAATTATTTCTTATTAATTTAACATTCTAATTAAGACAATTTTTAAATTAAATTTCAACAACAAAATACGTATTTTCACATAGGTTTGAAGTGATATTTCGTATTTTTATTTTATTATAATGTATTTTTAATATTAATAGTGTTAAATTAAATATAAAAACCTGTAATTCAAGTGCATGCATGCTAACTCTGCCACTCACCTGAGACTTCGCATTCCTCTAAATGCGTTCTCTGAGATTGACTCGATCATGTTGGAATCCAGGAAGAGGTCCTTGAGTTTCCTCAGCTTGTAGAATGCATTGCTGGGCACGGTCGCTAGTTGGTTTTGGGCAAGATTCAGAAAAACAAGACGCGTGCAGTCCTGGACAGGTCCTAGGTACAATGAAAATTACTTGGAATTTTAGTACGTATTCAACAAATGGAAAGTTGTGGTTTTCAAAAATTCAAAAGTTTTAATATCCATATCTTAAAGGTAACAACATTTCTGGGGCTCTCAATTCAGTCAGATCTCAAATGGAATATCTTTGTAAATGAATTGAATACTACATTAAGTTCATTGTGTTACGCAGCCAGAATCATTTCAAATTCAATCAGCTCTACATATGGCATAATATTCTGGGGAAGCTCATCCTTTAGTACTCAGGGTTTTAGACTGCAGAAAAAAATTGTAAGAACAAAAGCAAAAGCCATCCATGTGATTCCTGCAAGCATTCCCTCATTGAGCTTGAATTCACAACATTGCCTCTTCTTTTTATTTATATCGTTTTTGACCAAACTGTCATAATGTTTTCATGCAATACATATATTTATAATTACAATACACGCCATAGAAATCACATTTATCGGATGTTAGTACGAACATCTCTCTAAAAAAACCCAAAGAGGAAGGGAAGGTATGGTGATGAAGCATGTAAGGTTTCGAATTGGGTATTTCTCGAACATATTAATCTCGTTCTGCTTCTCTTTTAAGAGGTCTCTGACGGTTAGGTTGTCGCGATTAGGGGGTCTACCTGGCAAAAGGTAGACTAGAGATATAAGATTTTATTATTTTTATTTTGTTCATATTGTTATTAGTTATAATTATATCCGTGCAATGTTATGTTGGCGCATAAAGCAATGCGAGCTGGAGAGCGCACCTTCGAGGCTGGAGACGGAGTTGTTGGCGACGTCGAGCACGTACAGCGCGCAGGCGGGGCGCGCGGGCAGGAAGTCGAGCGCGGAGAGGAAGTTGTGCTGCAGGCGCAGCACGCGCAGCTGCGCCAGGCCGCTCAGCTCGCGCGACGAGTTGGCGAGCGCGTTGCGCGCCAGGTCGAGCACGCGCGTCGCACTGCCCAGCTGCGCCGGCGCCGCCGGCAGCCGCGACAGCCGGTTCTCCGACGCCACGATCACGCGGAACGCGCCCAGCCCCTCGGGAAACGCGCTCAGGTTGTTGCCCTGCGCAAGACAAACAACTTAAACTGAGAGAGAGTCCGATCTCCATGAAAGTGTACTAATCTACGTGTTTTTTACGCAGATGATTTATGTGCTGTTAATTTTGTTGTAATCCGACTAAACGGCGAAAGGGAGGGGCAGGGACAGAGAGACGGAGACAGACAGGGAGAGGGACATAGAGGCAGAAACAGAAACACAGATAAACATCCACAGTGAGAGAGGAGCAGAGGAAGAGACGGAGAGTGAGACGGAGAGAGAGCCGGGGAGAGAGATGGAGAGAGAGACGAAGAGAGAGACGGAGAAAGAGTCGGAGAGAGAGACGGAGAGCGAGTCGGAGAGAGACGGAGAGAGAGGGAGACGGAGAGTGAGAGGAAGATGGAGAGATATGGAGACATAGAGAGACGCAGAGGGCGGGAGGCGGAGAGAGAGGGTGACTGGGAGGGGGAGACGGTGAGAGAGGGAGAGAGAAAGGGAGAGGGACGCAGAAAGAGGGGGCGAAGGGCAGAACATCTGCTGGGTCCCGCTAGTGAAGAATAAATACAACTTATATATTGTAAATGAATGTAATATATACAGGTGTCGCACCAACTGTGGACCGCGAGACAAATTCTCATAGAACAGGAATGGATCAACAGGATAGGAAAAATAATTAATGTTATTTCAATTATAATTTACTATTCCAAATCCCAATATGAATTCGTTTTTTATTCTATAATTCTATAATTATTTCTATTCTATAATTTGAAGTCTCTTTCTTATTGATGATTTTCTTTCAAGCAATTCGTAAACGGATTAATTCAAATTAGTCTAATTATGTTCTATCTTAAAAATAAGATTTAAATATAATATGAAAAAAATGAAAAACGTACCACAATTTTGTACGAACATTTATTATGAAAATTTGTTACTACCACCGAACGTACTGCCGATATACAATGCAGCAGTTAAGGCAGTTTGAGAAGTTATTCTAGGAATTCCATTGAACATGATGCTGTGCGGGTACAGGGAATAAAGCCGGGCACCGCCACCGGAGGAGCAAGCAGTGTGTGCGACAAGTCCCGCATGCATTCGAGAGTCATTGAAGATTGGATACTAGTTTCAATCTGTCATTGTTTTTGGACACTATAGGATTCACTGTCGAGTGCGCTATTATTGGTATATCTCTTGGTATAACGTTACGTCGGCTTCGTTTCTGGACATTCTTCTGGTTGAAACGGAATATCACAGCTTGTAAGAATTTTTCCTGTGAGTTGAATAAAACATTTTTCTGTTGTTACATTGTGTTTTTCCTGGATAAAACTGAAAGTATGCACTATTCTAGCACCATGAGTTTATAAATTGAATAATTTTAAGCACAAATTATGCGAAAACTGATGACTCTATTCTTTTGTTTCTTCAAAAATTACAAAAAATTAATTTTTGACTTCTCTTACGTCGTTAGTATTTACATTAGCAACTATTTCTTCACATTATTGTTTTTTCTAATACATGAGCTTTAATTGATGTCACATAAAGTTTCTCGAAAACAGGAACAGTTTTCTGTGGGAATGAGCTCAAATTACCGCATTTTCAGAACCCCAAACAGATAGTGCTAATTGCACTGCTTAAGATACAATGAAGTTCATTTTCACGTTATCTTTTGTTTTTGCACAAATTACACAAATGTAATTTTTGTTAAAATATTTCAAGATCTGTTTTTAAAGAACAGATTTCATTTAGAAAAAAAATTAACCTTTATATTGTAGTTGTAGGAAGAAACCGAAAAAATGAACTTTTGCTGTTTTCGAAAAATAAGGGATTTTCATGAAATTGAGCGCTCTTTACGCTATCCGAGGACAAAGCTTAATAAGAAAATATGGATCCATTTTTTAGAAAATTTTGGAAATGATTTTTAGATTTCATGTAAAGTACGAGTATCTTTAAAAACCAAAATATTCCTTTCAAACTCCGATAGCCTCAAGATACTCAGATGAGTTTAAGAGAAAAGCGGTCAAACGGTTTAGGCGCTCGCGCGGACCACTGGCGGACAGGCGGACAGAGAGTCGGACGCACAGACAGGCAGTCGATTTGTCGTCAATCGATGTTTCGGCATCATTGTCACACAAAACTTGGATTCTGACTCAAAAACGTGTTAGAGGAAGTAATTTACTCTATATACTCGTATGAACAAGATTTATCCACTTTTTCGTTACCAGGGCTCGGAAATACGGGTTTAACGGGCGAAAATTTGTATTTTTCCATGTGCACGATTACAATACTTTCTCATCTCACGAAGTAAGGGCGAGAAAATAATGTGGCGTCGTTAACACGAGGGCCAGAACCGT